AACCCCCAAAAAGCAGCCCCTGAGCCACGGCATGCCAGAAAGCCCCTTTGCACTGCCTCCCTGGGCGGGGTTGGGTCTGGGTTTTGCACTGAAAAAAAAAAAAAAAAGTAAAAAGCAGCCCCTGAGGCGCGGTGCACCAAAAAGCCCCTTTGCGCTGTGGCTCAGGGGCTGCTTTTTTTTTTTTTTTTTTTTTGCAGTGCAAAGCCCAGACTCAGCCCAGCCCAGGAGTGCAGTGCAAAGGGGCTTTCTGGCATGCCGTGGCTCAGGGGCTGCTTTTTGGGGGTTTTTTTCACAGCTTGAAGCCCAGCCCCAGTCCGGCCAGCACGCCTCATCAGCAGTGGGAGCAAGAAGACAGTGGAGGTCAGCTGGGGTGGTGGAATGCAGGGCAGCAGTGGACCAAAAGGGCATAGCTGGGGGGGAGATAGGTGGGTGGGGGGAGTTGAAGCACCCTGCAGTCATAAGTGCGGGCAGGCTGCCAAGTGCCCAAATTCTGTTCACGTGACTGCGGGGGCGCTGCAACAACCATAACTTCAAGCACCAGTCGTAAGTCCTTTTGTTCAGCACTGCTGTAACTTTAAGCAGTCGCTGAACAAATGGTTGTAAGTTGAGGACTACCTGTGCTGAGTTCAACTAATAGGTGCTCGAAGGCTCACCAGTAGAGAAACATAGGGGATAAATCAAATCAAATCAGATCAGATCAGATCAGGTCAGGTCAGGTCAGGTCAGGTCAGGTCAGGTCAGGTCAGGTCAAATCAACTCAAATCAAATCAAATCAAATCAAAACAAAGCAGTCGCTAAGTTAAGCTGAGTTGCTGGTCCCAACTGTGGTTGCTAAATGCAATTGCTAATGGCAGCTTCATCGGGTCAAGGGAAGCCTAATTTGTTCAACTTTCCATTAATATTAGTAGGTGATCATTTTTGCCATAGTCCTCATCACAAACAGTCTTTCTTAAGGTGATCTAATTAGCTTTTAAAGAGTACAGGTAATCCTAGCTTAGTGACTGCCTTGGGTAGCAACTATCTGAAGTTACAATAGTGATGAAAAAGTAACTGTGACAAATGCTTGCATTTACAACCTTTGTAGCATCTCTTTCTCAGTCATGGGTTAGCCATTACAGTCAGTTAGTATGCATTGTCCTGTGTAAAACTGTAAGCACAGTTGCAGTCACGTGATTTTTCACTTAGCAACCACTTTGCTTAACAGTCGCTAAGTTAAGCTGAGTTGCTGGTCCCAACTGTGGTTGCTAAATGCAATTGCTAATGAGTGCTAATGAGTGTGGTTGCTAATGAGTGCTCAGTGAACGTCTCTGGCTTAGCAGCCTCCAAAAATGGCTCAAGTAGAACCGTTCGTTTTTAAGCTCAGACCAGGAACAAGATTCAGAAAAACAGAGCCCCACGCTCTTATTGGGTTAGTACTGAAGCAACAGTTAATGCCTTTGTTTTCTCCAGATTGGGATGAAATATAGCCCCAAACTAGAATTTTATGAGAGAATTACTACCACAGTTCATAGAAATTAACAATGCTATGTGTTTAATGAGAGAAGGTGATGAAATCTGCAGCAATAAAAGGTGTAAGTAAGGAACACCCATAACAAATTTTAATCAGATACATTGGGATGAATTTTCTGTAAAGAAAAAACATTTCTATAAGGAATAGAAAAAAATAATTCCTCATCCTAAAGACAGAGCTGAGGAACTGAAACAGAAATAAAAGGAATCTTGCTGTTCCTTTTGATAAAAGAAATTTGCTATCAGGCCAGACAAGTTAATATTGTAATGCCCAAAACACTGATACACAATTATTCTAGGTGAAATAGGATAGAGCAACTGATAAAAATAAAGATCATTTTCAATACTACTAACTTGTGACAGCTCTCATCAGAATGTTACTGGTTAAGGTGGCCTGTGATCGGACAGCTAATGTGTCAATAACCAAATTGAATATTTTTCATTCTTGTCTCCACTATGGCATTTGGTCTAAGTAACAAAATATTTTTGTGGTGTAGCTTTTTGCAGCATTTATCTCAAATTATCCTACTCTACCTTGTGATCCAGGCTTGGCAAAAGTTGCTGTACTGGTCATGTTTTTATAACTGCAAATTAAACCATTACTTAATTGTAACATTTGCTATTTGAGAACATGGCCTATTCAACATCTGCAGAAAATGGGGTTGCACTTTGATGTTGACCCTCCTGAGCCTGGAGAACCCCAACAAAAGAAATATGCAAAAAAACATGGGCTGCCACCATCCCATGAGGTCATTACTGTATATGTCAATTTCTCTTATTTAATAAAAACTTCGGTGCATTTTATAATGTTAGTGAGAAGGTTAATCAGTGTAAAATTACTGGGTGATCTTTGAAACTATTTAGCCATTTACTTGAATCTCAATTCTTTAGTGTTTAGTCAATATGAATAAATTAAAAACCAGTCAGGACTAGTTATTGTTACCACACAATTGGCCTTAAACAATTTATGAGACTGCATGTTCACCAGTGGGTAAAAACATTTTTATTCACATGGGCTTTTAGTTTTTAAGATGACATTCAAGCAAGTTTTAATAAAATACAGGTAGTCCTCGCTAAACAACGGTAATTGGGACTGGAATTTCTGTTGCTAAGCATGTCACATGACCACACTGCTTAGCAACGGCAGTTCCGGCAGCCCCTGGTTACTGTTGTTAAGTGAATCACTGCAGATCATTAACCAAGGACCTCAGGTGACCACGATTTCCCACTTCCTGCCAGGTTCCCCACTGACTTTGCTTGTGGGAAGCTGGCAGGGAAGGTTGCAAATCGCAACCATGTGACTGCAGGGGCGCTGCAACAGCTGGAATTTCAAGGACTGGTAGTAAGTACAACTCGTTTAGTGCTGTTGCAAGTTTGAATAGTCGCTGAGTGGTTGTTGAGGACCACCTGGATTCCTCTTACACAGTGGGGCAAAAAAGTATTTAGTCAGCCACCAATTGTGCAAGTTCTCCCACTTAAAAAGATGAGAGAGGCCTGTAATTTTCATCATAGGTATACCTCAACTAT